TTCTCTACTGTTGAAACCACTTTCAAAAGAGAAAGTGAATACACAAGGTGGGGAGGGGGAAATCTGTATAAACTGCTACAATAGAAAAAAAAACAGAATAAACAACAACAACAACAACAAAACTGCTCACAGCAGCTGCCTCCAGGGAGAGGACTAGAAACTCAGACAGACACCTCCCAGCTGAGCTCCCTACTTGCTTAAAATAATCCCTGTAATTTTTGTTTAAACTTCTTAAGAGATAAAAATTTTACCACACTATTTAAAAGCAATGACTGTGACCAAGAGAGACTATGTGAACAAAGACTGCATGAGCTCAGTGTGTAGTGAGGCAGGGCTGTAGGAAGGCTTTGCTTTCCTTCATTTTTTACTAGTTCTTTGAGAATTTCTATAATGTGTTTTGATCATTTCACCCCAACTCCTCCCAAATCCACCCCTTCCTTACCCATTCAATTCTGTTTCCTCTTTGTTTTTGTTTTAAACCCATCCAAGTCCAACGTGTGCTGCACATATATTCTTAGACGTGTGGAAAATGCCTTAGCGTATGGCAAACGACTACACTTAAGGAAAACTGATTTTCACCTCTTCCAGCAGCTATCAATTGCCAACTGCTCTGTAGCCAGGAGTGGAACTTCATGCCCACCTCCCCTTTCCATGATGGAATTTGGTCTAGCTTAGACTTGCATGGGTCTTGTGCATGCTGGCACGAATGCTGGGTTCCTGTGTGCAGCTTCCCTACTGTGTCTGGAGGACACTGCTCTCTCATCGTCACCCACCACCTGCGGCTCCTCAGTCTTTCCACCCCCTTCCTCTTTAACGATCCTTGAGCCTTAGGAGAAGGGATGTGATACAGGGGTCCCCCTAGGGTTGAGTACTCCACTGTCTCTGATTTTCTGCATCTTAACCAGTTGTGAGTTTGTGTTAACTACCATCTATCTACTCTAAGAAGCAGCTTCCCTGATGAGGGTTGAGGGATGTTCTACTCTACAGGTATAACAATAAGTATTAGGAGTTGGTTTAATACTGTCTATTTAGCAAAATCACTTAGTAGGTTCTTACCTGGGGCATATGACCTTGTCTAGCCACAGGTTCTTGGCCCCATAATAGTTCCAGGTATTGGTTTCATCTTGCAGAGCAAGCCTCAAGTCCAGTTAGAAAATGACTGGAATCTACCACGACATTTATGCCACTAGTGTGCCTGTGGTCATGTCTTGCCAGGCAAATCACTGAGTTCACAGGGTGCTTAGTTGAGTAGGACTGAAGATTACTTTTCTCCTCTGACGGTATGCATAGCTGGAAGGGTATACCAGGACTATGGAAGTGGCCAGTAGGAATGAAGCTTCCAGATGACTATCAGTTTGGTTTCTCCATGTTCTATGATCCAAGTATGTGGTATCTTCAGCAACAGGGTCTTAACATCAAGTTTTGAAGAGTAACCAATAGCACTGGCAATAGCCTATAGTGTTTGAGGGTCTAAGGAATCTCACTGGCCAACAACTCTAAAAGAGGTTAACTAATTCCTGGAACTGAACTTTTATTTGTTAGTCTGAGGTATCAAGTGGGTCACTGGTATGCCGTTACAGGGTAACCCTATCTTAACTTTTTATATAAGTATTATGTATATATGTGTGTGTAATATATGTATAGATACATGCATATACACACACATGTATGGAAGCTTCTATAGTAGGTTTCCCTAAGACTTTATTTATCCCTCCCTGTATTCCCTTTCCCTGCCCTCCCAATCCTCATCCCAATTTAACTCTTCCTGTTTCATAGCTTTTATAGATTATTTTCTTTGAGACCAGGTCTATGTAATCCTGAGGGGCCTGGAACTCACTGTGTAGACCAGACTGGCCTTGAAAGCACAGAGATCTATCTGCCTCTGTCTCATGAATGCTGGGATTAAAGATGTGCACCACTACACCTGGCCTTGACACTCTTGTGCAACAGACAAAACCCATGCTAATGGCACAGCAACAGACTTGCAAGCGGTGCTGACAGTCAGCCAGAGCAGTTTCCTAGAGAACATCCTTCATCTGCTCCTTTAAGATTTGGTAACTCCCTACCTGCTGCCAAACAGAGGCTATACTGCTCCGTTTTATTTTCTGAAACAGGCAGTTGTGAGCTGTCTGATGTGGGCGCTAGGAACTGAACTCAGGTCCTCTGGAAGATTACCAAGTGTCCAAAATACTGAGGCACCTCTTCAGCTCCTATACAGGTACTTTTAAAAGAACTAAACCACGGTCACTGGCTTCTGCTTTCCTGCTCTTCTGAAAGGTGTGAAGATTTTCAGCTTGCCATCAGAAGCCAGAGCTAACACTCCCAAGGATCGCACAGTCCAGCATTCTCCCACTCAGCTAAGAAAACGCAGGTCTGGGAAGGGAAGGAGACTTGTTGAAGGTTATGTAAGAAGCAGAGGCCTCAGAATCCCTGGTCCTCAACTCCTTGCATGTCACGTGCTGTTCTTAGTAATAGCTGTTGGAAGCTGGCAGGAGGGGACAGGGCAGGAAGAGAAAGGTACCAAGACTGGTGCCAAGTCACTGAAGCACCTTCGGATAGCTTACTGATCCTTCACAACACTTTTACAAGGTATTCAGGCTTCTTCTTAATATTTACAAATAAGGAACCCAAAGCTCTGAGAAGATAAAAGCTGGTACTAGGTCACACAGCAGGAAGAACAGTGGGAGCTCCAAGACAATCTGCCTGTCCACCAAGCCAGAGTGGAAAGGAGGAGGCTGGGGACAGACCACACTGGTTTTAGAGGTAACAGTTTTCTATTATGCAGTTTTTTCTCAGCTCTGAATGCTAGCACCCCCAATAGCAAATTGAAAAGCCAATCATGGGGCCTGTGAAATGGCTCAGAAATTAAAGATGCCTACCACCAAGTCTGAACATCTGAGTTTGATACCTGGGACCCACATGGTAGAAGCAGAGGACAGACTCCCACATGCACAAACACAAAATAAATACAATAAAAACACTTTTAAGAAGAAAGAAAAATGAATCATCTTATTTTCTGGCATGTGCTCTTATTGTTAGCCACCAGGCTTGGGGCTTCACTCTGACACATAAGACATGAAAGGCAGCTCCTAAGAGACACTTGTATAGCTTCTGCCAAGACAGGGTGGAACAACCCACTCATGCCCCTTCTAGTCATACCACCTGCCACACAAGTGCCTATCCCTGAGACATGTCCATATTACCACTGGATCACCATACCAGGTGTAGTAAGGGAGGCCAGCACTATGGTGTTTGGTCCCCAAAAGTCCCGAGCTTCTAAAATGAAGACAAATTTAAGCCAGCAAGAAGTGTCTGTCCAAGCCGGGCGGTGGTGGCACACGCCTTTAATCCCAGCACTCGGGAGGCAGAGGCAGGCGGATCTCTGGGAGTTCGAGACCAGCCTGGTCTACAAGAGCTAGTTCCAGGACAGAAACCCTGTCTCGAAAAACCAAAAAAAAAAAGAAAAAAAGAAAAAAGAAGTGTCTGTCCACATGGCACGGACAGAAAGGACCGCAGGTCAGATTGGCCAACTGCTAGTGAGGTAACACCGGGTAACCAAAGGTCACATGCAGATAAAGGATACTTCTGAAGCAAGGAGCCATATCGTCTCTCTCCCTTCTCTCTGTCTCGGTAAACACCTAATGAAGGTCCATGGTGCTCTTCATCCTGAAGTCTTCCTTCTGGAGCATGGCAGAATCAAGCTGAATGGGAGTGGGAGCATTCCATAAGGCTCCACTATAAGCCTAATCCATCAGCATAGAGCCCTCCCTGAGCCTGGGGTCTAAAGGTCAGCCAACAACTAAACACACTTCACTTTTCATTGACAGTGGTTCCCCAGGCCGCAGTAGCCAGCTCCAAGCCTCTCAGGGAGCACCATGATCTGAAACTCCACTAGTTTGGAGGAGGGTGCCTCACCACAAACCTCATTCCAAACACTCAAGAAAGAGGCCTCATGTCACCTTTTGTCAAGCAATTCCCTTCTGGCCCTTGGAAGGTCACAATTAGGCATCGGGATGCTCATGTTGCAAACAACAAAACACTCAAAAAGGCAAAAATAACTCCCAGGCGTCACAGAGCCAGAAAGCTGAGTTTTGGCTCAAGTTCCGCCTCTTCACCCTCACCACGCTATCTTTTTGAGACCAGCCCTCTGAAGAACTGCAAGAGCATCTGCTGCCTGCAGTCAACAATCCAGACCCCTTCCGAGCATCGCACCAATGACTACCTAGAAGAGCATACATTTTCCAACAACCGATCAACCAATGAACGCCAACCACCCCGCAATCCAGCCATGCCCCTTCAACAGCAACAGGGGAGTTTAAAAAAAAAAAAAATAGCACGCCGCACTTAGGGCTTGGCGTGGCACAGGGAAGCAGCCGGCCTATTAACCAGGGGAGCTGCGATCCCAGTGCCACTCCGCAAAGACACAGGCAGACCTGGCCAGCCCCTCCAGAGCCCTCAGAGAAGCCAAAGCCTGGACGGCGGAGAGGGCAGCTTCCCTTCTCCGGGGTGGGACCCACTCACCCTCCCGCAGCTCCTCACCTGCGGCCCGGCTTCCGGACCAGCCAACAATCCTCAGCCCCGCCCCCCGCCCCTACAGGGTTTTCCCCAGCCCCGCCCACTGCACCTGTGCTTTTTCCCCGGCTCCCTCGCAGCCCCCTCCCACTGCCGCCCCACCTCCCCCGCACCTGAGCCCTTTCTCCGCCTCTAGCCCGCACACACGTTCTAGTTCCCGCCCCTGGGACCTGGAGCCCGCCCAAGACCCCTGCGCCTAGCCCAGGCTCCCGACCCCGCCTCCCGCAGCTGCGCCCTTTCCCGTCACCACCCCCCACACGCTGTCATTCGCGCCCCTGGGACCCGAGCCGGCCATAGCTCCGCCCCTCGAGCCCAGGCCCCGCCCCGGCCCCTCAGACCTAGGGTCCCGCCCCCCGCACCTGCAGCTACTCGAGCCCCGGGCCCCGCCCCACCCCGCCCCACCCCGCCCCGCCAGCGGCTCCTCTCACCGCCTCTCTCGCCGCTGCAGTCCCGGCTGGTCACCTTGACGCGAGCCACAGTGGCTGCCGCCGCTTCCTCATGGCTCTGCGAAAGGCCCAGCGGCAGCGGCGCCTTCGTTCCGAGACTGGGGCCGGGCCAAGCCGGGTTGAGGACAGGCCGGGCGCAAGCTTGAAACGCGGGGCCGACGCGGGAGCCCAGCCGGTGCCCAGCCGCAGTAGGAACCGTCCGCTCCCGGACCTGAACGGCAGGCGGATCAGCCAATCAGAGTGAAGCACCACACCGAGCTCCTCCAACCAGCTTGTCGCAGGGGCGGAGACACGCAAATGAACCGACTGGTAAAGCCAGTGCGCAGCCGCTGCAGCAGCGGTCCCCCACCGGCCTCGGCCTGGGCTTCAGCCTCCAGACGCTAAGGTTTGCAGGGATGTTGGGCCACCCTCTTCGGACACAACCACCCGCCACGCCCACCCCCTGCATTGAAATAGCTGTGCGCTTATTCTGCACGCATCCTTCCAGACCTCACCCACTTAAATTTCTACCTAGAGTTTCTCGTTTTCAACAACAAAAAAATGGCTTTGTGAGCAAGACATCACCACCTTAGCACCCATTCTTTACGACTCAGAGATAATCACAGTCCAGTAACACACTTTGGGGTTCTTGGGGCTGATCCATGTATTTCACAGCTAGTAAAAGTCAGGCCTGAGGAGGGTCTTGCCCAAGACCATACCAGATTCAAAGGGGGGTAGGCCTAAAAGCTGTCTCCCTGCACCCAGGCCTTTTACGCTGGGCCAGGTATGTGCAGTGAACAGAGGTTGAGTCATAGGCTAAAAGACACAGGTGGCGAGTTATAAAGACCGTGCAAGACAGGGACGGCTGTGAAGGCCTGAAGGTCGGGAACCACAGCAAAATTCTGTCATGCCTACCAAAGAAAGGAGGTAGGATGCTTCTTAGACATGTAGACAAGATCATCGCTTTGATACCTTTGTAATTCGTGGTGCTGTAGCATTAGCCTATAGAAAGATTTCGATTGCACTATCCAAAAGAAGAGGGAGGGGGGAAACAATAGAGTCAGCAAATTTAAACCTTCTGGTGTATGGTGGTGGAATACAGCATCTCTGAGGCAAACGTCTACTATTTTGCATTAAGAACACAGTAATGATCAAAGAATAGTCTCAACTGTTTCCCTTAAATAAACCAAAAAGATGCATGATGTGATGGTTCTGGAAGATGCTGAATCCAGAGATGTGTAGGGTGAGAACAGAGTGCAAAAACTTGAGGGAGATTAGGGAAGAGTGTTTGGTGGCCAAGCAAGAAGACCTAAGTTCAAGTGCTCAGAACACACATAAGAAGACGGGCATGGTTGTGCAGCTACCTGTAGCCCTACTGCTTAGGGTTGGGCGATGAAAGCAGGAGACTTGCTGTGGTCTGCTGACTGCCAGGTTCAGCCTGAGACACTGTCTCAAGGGAATAAGAGGGAGAGTGTAGAGCCGGACACTTGACATCCTCCTCTGGCCTCTGCAAGTTCGTGAGCGTGCATCACCTGCACACATACAAACCACACACAAAATAAAAACAACTGTAACTGTTTTGATAAATATTTATAAATTATTATAAAGCTTAGAGGGACCTGCTGCTTGAGTCCAAGCCCTGATTGTGTCAGCAACTAGATGTGTGCACACATGCCAGCTATTTTTGCATGCTCAGATTCTTTATGGCGGATGAATGTTAGGGAGGCTGGAGAGCTGGCTCAGCAGATAAGAGTGTGTACTGCTCTGGTAGAGGATCCAACTTCAGTTCTAGGCACTCATATCAGGTGTCTCACAACTACCTATAACTCCAAATCCAGGTCAAGCTGTCACCTCTGGCCTCTTCTTCCACAGGAACCTGCAATTGTATGTAAATATTCTCACACACACACACAATTTTAAAGTGCATTTTAAAAATATTTTTTAAAGATTATTTTGCAGGGCAATGATGGCACAAACCTCTAATCCCAGCAGTCTGGAGGCAGAGGCAGACGGATCTCTGTGAGTTCAAGGCCAGCCTGGTCTATAGAGTGAGTTCCAGGACAGCTAGGGCTACACAGAGAAACCCTGTCTCAAACAACAACAGCAAAAAATATAGTGCTTGAAGTTCTAGCAATAGCAATAAGACAGCATAAGGGGATTCGTATTGGAAAGGAAGAAGTTAAGCTTTCGTTATTTGCAGATGATATGATAGTATACATAAGCGACCCCAAAAACTCTACCAAAGAACTCCTACAGCTGATAAACAACCTTTAGTAATGTGGCAGGATACAAGATCAACTCCAAAAAATCAGTTGCCTTCCTATACACTAAGGATAAGGAAACAGAGAGGGAAATCAGAGAAGCATCACCTTTCACGATAGCCACAAATAGTATAAAATATCTTGGGGTAACTCTGACCAAGGAAGTGAAAGATCTATTTGACAAGAACTTTAAGT